TCAATATTTAAAATTTTATTAAAAATTTTAAAATATGCAGGCAAATTTGCCTGTGTTACAATCTAAGGGATAGCAAATTTGCTTGTGTGTTTTGGGTCATTATCTTGTTGCCAACGTCAACATTTACCAACCATTTTTTTTACTTCAGGAAGGTGCTTGCGTACAATTTCAACATAAAATTTCTTGTCCATAATTTGTATAAAGCAAAATAAGCTTGATTTTCCCTTTACTGAAAAACCACCTCATACTTTAATTTTAGTACGGTCTTTAGGAATTGGACGAATTGGCTGTTGACCTTTCTTATGCCAATGCTTGAGCATATTTTGAAAGAGTTGAAAGGCTGATTTATCTGTAAAAAAAGTTCTGTTCTAATTATCATTAAGGTGAACCTAAGCCCATTTTACTCTCTTTCTTTTTTGGTCATTGGTCAATATGGAGGTCTTTTGTGGAATATTTTTCACATATCCCATTATAGCCAAATGCCTTTCAATTGTTCTATATGAAATGTCATTACCTATACTTGATAGGTATGCTGCTAAAGTTCTTGTTGAAATAGACGAATCCTTTTTAATTTGCTTCTCAATAGCCCGGGAGGCAATATTACTAATTTTTTTGGGCCGACCATTCTCTCTAGCATGGTCAACATTTCTACGCACTTTTAACCTTTTTATATTGTTGTAAATAGTAGACCGGGGGATACCAGTTCGAGCATAAAGCTCTTTTGCACTATGTACACCTTTGTTCCACAGGTATACTAAAGTTTTTCGCTGGCTTCTTTTTTAGATACTGTTATACAGCTATTATTTGGATATACAAAATTACAATATACTTGCGAATTACAAATCACTAAAAGTAAGTATTCAATATTGCTTCTGATTTGCATTTTGCTGATCTTAGATCTGATTTAAATCAAATGAGTTTCACATGATTTTAAATCACGTGCAATTTTTCCAGTTTTTTTTGTCCCACACTGTATATCAGATATTCAACGGTATGCCGTGATATCATATATTACCACGGTTTCGCTATACTAATCCACAGTACGTATTGTCTTAACTCCTACTAGATTTGGATAAATGAAAACTATTACTTATATTAAAAAAGGATTTTTCAAAAATCAGCATAGCGCATATCAAAAAAGTTGAACGGAAAACCATACCTCACACATTTTCATGTGATCGTACTGGTAAAAATCATTTGTATATAGTGTTCACGCTAAACTTGTAAACCTCAGGTCTAATGCTAATACTAAATTTTCTATTTAGAAAAGATAATCATATATTGCACATTATTCTTAATTTGTTTATTGATTTGTTAGTGAGGTAAAAAAAAAAAGATCCGGAAATAATTTTTTACTCTGCGAATGATTGTCCACCGTGTGATAATATTTAAATAATCTTACTATTTATAGCATTTGTTTAAATGAAAGAATAATTTAAATACAGAAAAAATTTGATGCATATCGATATTATTTTTCTGATCTTTTTTTTGACCACTGAGTATTAGGCATTTTATATAATATTAATGGCCTAGTGCAATCTTCACATAAACGCGACTATACCAAAATTGGAGGGACACTAAAGCCTTGTGGTCACATCATTCTGCGCCATCCACAAAAAAAAACCTGGGATGTGCTAAAGCCTTGTGGGATGATTATATTATCACACCGTGTGATATTGGGGTTCGAATATTCCAACTCCAATTTTGATTAGTAATATATTATATATACCAGTATGATCACATAAAATGTGAAGAGATGGTTGTGTTCAACTTTTTGGTGTGCTATATTTTTTTCTATTTTAGAAGGTATTATGGTTATCACTTTTTTTCCTATTTTAGTGGTCGGCTGAAGCGGAGTGAAGTTTAGGGTT